GGGGTACTGGGCTGCGGATCCCGGCGCAGGCGGCCCGGACGCTGCTAGGCGCTGGCGGATTTCTGCTGCACAAATCGGCCAAACACGTTCTTAAGGCCCCCGCGGGTCCCCTGGCCCAGAGGTTGAGCCGTGGGTGCCTGGTCTAAAGTTCCGCGCCCCACAGTGGCCCGCTGGCCTCGGCAGCTCCTGCCCTACGCCCTCCAAGGCACCGGGCAGGTGGCCCCAGGGCCTTTGCCCAGGACACTCCCAGGGTGGGGCAGGACCACCCCTCTATGAATTCGTCCTGGATGCCCCCAGGCACAGTCTGTGCTCCTCCCACCCCCAGCACACGCAGCCTCTGACGCTGCACGCCGAACTTCCTGGGACCCAGGACAGACCCGGGCTCCGAGGACCCTCGCTCCGCCCGGAGCACACGCGGCAGCGCCGGCCGAACCGAGCTTGGGTCAGCGCTGGCCACGCGCAGCCACCGCCAGACGGCGCTCGCCCTTCCCCGCCGTAGACCCTGCTTCGGAGGCCGCCAGCGTCCTCCCCATCCCGGGCCACAGCTTCAGTCCAGTCCCTGGCGATGCGCGCTGAGAGCTGGGCAGAGACTTCCGTGCGCTGTAAACCCCTTAGGTCGCTAAACCCAGGAAACCCAAGCACAGCTAATGCCAGCGCGAGACCAGTGCTTGTTAGAGGCATTGAAGGGGCTTTCTGGATGCAAAAGGCAGCATTATGATCCATGCATTTAAGAACCTGCATGAAAAACCCTCCCTGACCTGGGTGGGAGAGCAGGCACCCACCCACCTATCGGCACAGACACGCCTGGTACTCCAGACACGTGTTCGCATCACCTCCCACCTGTCCACTGCCAACCTCCTGAGATGGACTAAAGCACCCCGGTGCTTTTAATTTGCATCTAGGGTTGTTTCCTCATTATCCTGATTTGCTTAATTTCCTCTTGGCCTGGCATGATTTCTTTTAGATCTAGGCATATGCTGATTTACATAGCTGGCGCCTCCATATTTTCCTCCACGAAAACCAGTTTTCAATTAGCAAGTTTATCTGTCTCTTTGATGCAAAAGTACTGGCATTTTTTTATTCACCTAAAATCAGAAAGCTCTGCAGATTAGAAGGCTGTTACTATTCACTTACACCCTTAATTTATGTGCATATATTAGTATGTGCTCATGTGTTATAAATGTGTCAGTTTAATGGTCAGAGCCAGATCAGGATATTGGGGAGGCGTCTCTAGGCAGGCTCACATGCCCCCGCCACCCACCTCCCCCACCGCATGGTCCGTTTTGAACAGGAGATTCTCCTCCCTTCTGCATTGTTTGGAGGCAGAGACAGAAGGCCAGGGATGCTGGTGCCTGGCTTGCATGCTGTTCTCCGCAAAAGCAGAGCTTCGTGTGTGGCCCCCAGGCTCCTGGGAAGATAGGGTTAGCCACAATCTGTGGGAGCTGAAGCACTCCTTTAGGGAATCCCAGCTCCATCCCCACTGTCCTAGAAAGGGTTCTGCTGAAGTCAGTTTTTGCCAGCGCACCCCCCGGGCTTGCTGAGGCTCTGAGCTCAGGACCGCTTGAGCCACTGCTTGGCCCTGAAGAAGAGGTGGAAAGTCAGAAGCAACTCAACTCAACCACAAAGCAGCCTAAACTCTTTTGCTGTTTCCTGCCACAAGCTTGACTCTCCTTTTGTATGACAATGCTTGGAAGCCCTTTTCTGTACCATTCTGTGTACTCAATTACAGGAAAACAGCCCTGGACAATGCAGACACGACCATTTCCACTAATCATTGCTAGGGCCAAGGACCCAGCACAGGGCTTCTCCCCCTCCTCCTGGCTCTCATTTCCATCAGCTTCATTTCGGGGTTTGCCTCTCATCCCACTTAACCCGGGAACCTTCTACATCCTCATGGGTAGGAGACGCTCCCTCATAGACACACTCATTTCAATGATTGTTTAGGAGGACTCCCTCCATGAACTGGTTTTGCAAAGGTCATTTGTACATCTTGAGGGTGGTTGAAAGAGCAAAGGCAGAGAAGATGCAAAGAAGACGGCTGTTGCACAAACAAGTAGGATGCCACCTTCTTCCTGGGGACTGGAAGCCAGGTGAATGTCTAGCTTTGAGCTGAGACACTCTGCCAGAGAGACGTGTGCTGGCAGGCACATCTGCCTCCCTGTGAGTGCCCCCGGAGGTCAGCCCGAAGCAGGACAGGTGGCTGGCACCCCACAAACTCCCCTTTGTCTCCCTGTAAAAATCATGAGAAATTTGCTTTATAAGGCATCTTATATACAGTCTAGTCTCCAGCTCTCCTATCCAATAAAAACAACCTTAAGTCTTTCCACGTTATTTGGGCAAAGCCAGCAGAAATTTCCTGCTAAGCTGAGACAGGATATCACCTAGGAAGAGGAGATTCGCAGCAGGGAAAATGTGTGAATTACCTACATGTGCTAATGAGTTCCCGATTGTTTATTACCTTTCAGGAAAAAATCATGTGGAAGGTTTCAGAGGCATCAGTGGAATAAGATTTTGAAGCCCATAGAAGGTTTCTTTTCTTTTTTTTTTTTTTGGAACTTATTTTATTTTGTTTTTCTAAGTAAACCCTAATAGAATTCCAAAATGGGAGAGATGAAAACATTTTCTTCCAGGCCGGCAGAGTTAAAGTAAACACCAGGGGAACAGGAGGGAGGTCAAGGCCCCGCATATCACCTCCGCTGTTCCCTGCACCGCCCACCGCCCACGCTGCCAGAACTTCTTTCCAAAGCAAGTGCCATTCAGACCGACCCCTTTCTGAACACTCGCCAGCGGCGCGATGATGAGGCCCTGAAAGAAAGCCATGCCAGCGAGGACCCAGAGAAGGAACCGGCAGTGTGACACCTGACTCAGTGCAGGTTGAGGAGGAGACGGGTGGGAGAGTGGCTCCCCTGTTCTGTGAGACTGGGGAGAGCCTGGGGAGTCTGAGAGACTAGGGATGAGGAGCCCTTAGGGATGGATGCACTGTGGGCCAAGAGGCTGGCGAAGATGTGCTGACCTGGAGGGCTCCAAGGTCACCTGGAAAGACGTGTCCTCTTCACAGTTGAAAACTTCAGCCTGGAGTTCAGGAGCAAGGTCTTGGATGGAGCCACAGAACTGAAATTAACACAAAAATTGAGAGTGGCAGCTGTCCGTAGTGATTGTGATCAAAGATGTGGATGGGATGGCCCAAGGCAAGCACAAAGTGGGAAGAGGAAAGGCCACTCGTGGAGTCAAGTGATGGGAAGTGAGGCTCCCAGTGAAAGAGAGAGAGAGACACACACAAGGCACACTGGGCCCGCAGGCCTCCCGGGCGGGCAGGAGCACGCTTGCCTGATAAAGGCTGTTATTATTGTTATTTTTGTTATCAGTGTGTTACTGTAGGATATCTGGAAAATACTGCAGAGCACTATGAGTCAGAGCCCCTCAGGGAGAAGCAGTGCTAACCTTTTGGTGACCTCTCTACAATCATTTTTTCTCCTCACTTCTCTCTCTCTCTAATGTGTTTACGTGTGTGTGTGTGTGTGTGTGTAGTATGAATAATATATTGCATCTTGTAATACAGTATTACATTTTATATTAAATTGCATTTTATAATAAATAGCTTTAATGCAGCCTGTACTATAAATAACCTTAAATCTTATTTTTCACTCAGTATCACAGCATAAGCATTTCCCCACATTTTTAAAAAATCTTAGAACAACCCACTTATCAATACCAGAGCAAATACCCCACTGAAGACAGATGGAGGTTCAGGTCGGGCCCTGTCCTGTGAATTCGCACCCACTGTCAGGTGGGGGCCCCGCCGTGTGAATCCACACCCACTGTCAGATTGAGGCCCTGTCGTGTGAATTCGCACCCACTGTCAGGTCGGGGTCCTGCGTGTGAATCCGCACCCACTGTCAGGTCGGGGCCCTGTCGTGTGAATCCGCACCCACTGTCAGGTCGGGGTCCTGCGTGTGAATTCGCACCCACTGTCAGGTCGGGGCCCTGTCATGTGAATCCGCACCCACTGTGCCAACTTTCTGCAACTTTCAAAGGACCACGCGTGTGAAAAGGGCCACCCAGCAGCTGGTGAAGAGCAGGCACTTAGTGCACATCGCTCCCCTCAAGCCTTCACCGAGGCGGATGAGTAGCTTGTGG